AGAGAAAGTCTGTGACTAAATCCTCTCTCGAAAGACTTTGCTGGATGTGAATGAGCAGAATACACAGTCAATTAATAAAAAGGATTTTTTTGTTGGTACCAGGAGTTGGCTTCAGGCTCTTGGGAAGCTTTAGTCAGAACACTTGTTTGCCTTCAATCTTTCCTTGGAGGATTCATTGATATACTCAGTTGACTGAATTCCAGAGTGGGATGGATCTGACATGTTAATTGCATCTTCTGCTTATGATACTGTTGTTCTCTAATGTGCCAGCACTGCATGTTCAATTGATCAGAATATTAAATGTTTCCAGGTCATTTTCTGAGAGAGTCTGGAAAACTCGCACTAAAACCTCACTCTTCAAGATTCAGTTAAGAGGTTGATAATGAAGATGCTGAAGAAACAATTCTGATTAGGCAGTATGAATTGATAGAAGTTGAGGCTTGGGACAGAGAAAATTGCAAACAGCTAAATATGAGCTAATGAGAATGTTTCTCTGTACATAGGAAAAGAAGGTTTTTATTGTGCTTCAAAAGTGAGGAAAGGTTTTTCAACTTCTCAATAACTCAGCATAATATTGTTACCAAAGGAGAGGATGGGGGTGTAGGGGGGAAGGATGGATGTTTAAAGAGAGAAATTTCTAGTTACTGGGCAGTTTTTAAAAAAAGTTTTTTATTTTTTTATCTCTTACATACGATGACAGGTATACATTCACATAGTTATTATTCTGATTTATATGTATCACTTTTACACATTGGTTTTTCTATATAAAAGTTTAAAATATACATTCTGCTTTCCCTTTCCTTCTCCCCTTGCCTCTCCTAATAACTGGACAGTTTTAAAGGAGGATCCTGGGCTGAATACAGAGCAATTAAAATACTGTTCACATCAGAATAATTTTGATTGGGACAGAGAGAAAATGCACCTTTGTGTATAATATAAATCCTCAGAAAGAGTTTTCCTGACTGTCCATTAGATAGATTTTCTTGTGTCTTTTCTGACAGCTAGCTAATCTTCCTCCTGGTTTTTCTAGGCGGCGCAAACGTGATGAAGACAGGCATGATATAAAAAAGATGAAAGGCTACACGCTGCTTTCCGAGGGTATTGATGAGATGGTAGGAATTATATATAAGCCCAAAACAAAGGAGACTCGTGAAACCTATGAAGTTTTACTGAGCTTCATTCAGGCAGCTCTGGGGGATCAGGTGAGTGAAAAACAGGTGACAAATTTGTCCTAAGTGAGCTTTCACAATTATCCTACTTTGCGCCAAGCATTTGCAATTTTTGTGAAAAAGCTATAGGAGACCACAATTGAGCTCTTGTGTAGAAACACAATCGGGTCAGCTTATGAAGCTCTCTATCATTTCTGTAGAGTCCACTGGAATCCAGCGGTCAATAGAGTTTAAGAAATAAATAAAATAGAGATACATTAACACTTTAGGATGGTCAACTTTTATTTTTTGCTGTTTCTGTCAGCTGAGTGAAATGAACGTGTCATTTGAAAACTACTGCAGTGTTTGGAAGATCTACTTTTTTCTGGTATTGAGTTGTTAAATATTCTCATGCTGTATTAAAACAAGCTGGTACCTCATTATTTTTATCCTTTTATGGCTAACTTAATCCAGTCCTTTTTCAATAGGCACACTTAGATATGATTCCTGATGTTTGAACTGACTTTCAGGGGTGTAGCTGAAGTATTATCAAAAAATTGCTTCCAATTATGTTGTGTTTCTATAAATGCTTATGGCTTTCCAAAACATGTTTAGGCCTCCCTAATTCAGACAGTGGGACAAGGCAACTCAGTGGCAAAAATGCTGAGCTTATCGATCAGAAAGGTCGGCAGTTTGGTGGTTCGAATCCCTCACGCCACATAACAGTGAGGATGGCCTCCTGGCCATCAGCTGTTTCATGCCTATAGCTGCCTCCATGTGGCCCATTTTCAGCCTTCGCATCCCATTTTGTGCCTCTGTGCACCCCGTATTTGGCCTCCACGCTCCCCATTTTCCACCCATTCTGATCCCTGATGCCCAGAATGGTTGGAAAACGAGGCGTGCCGAGGCTGAAAACAGGATGTGGAGGCTGCAAATGGAGCATATGGCAATCCCTGCTGCTTGTGTTAATCAGACTGTGCTGAAATTGAAACTGGCTGTTTGCTGTAAGGAGGCAAATTGCTGGAAGGCAGAGGCAGATTCCCCCCCCCCTTCCAAAAGCTAGGTGCATCTTATGCTTCGGAGCGTCTTATACTCTGAAAAACATGGTATATGCCCTTGTGTTGGAGCAAATACGGGCACATGCAGTGCCACCAATGAGTCCTATGATGCAGGGTAAATTTTCTCAAGTTTTCATCCCTGAAATTGCGCATAGAAGGAATGGTATCATTTATTTTTATTTTTTTGCTTTTTGCAGCCTCGAGACATTCTCTGCGGAGCTGCCGATGAAGTGCTAGCTGTCCTGAAAAATGAGAAGCTACGAGACAAGGAACGGCGAAAAGAGATTGACCTCTTGCTGGGCCAGACAGATGACACCCGTTACCACGTCCTGGTTAATCTGGGCAAGAAGATCACAGATTACGGCGGGGACAAGGAGATCCAGAATATGGGTATAATCTACGGCCTCTGTTCCTTTTAGCTTTTGCTCTGAATTTGGGCAGAGGAAGGTCCATCTTACAGCACAATCTGATTTTCTTGTGGTTTTCTTGATTTGATCAAACAGAATGTGGGGGTGAGAGGTTGCATGGACAAATTTGGTTTGCTGCGGAGTGTCAGGGATGGGTGGTGTTTCTTGTCACAAATGCCCAAAGCTTCCAAGATGATTAAAGCTAAGAAGATTTGATGATTTCATCATGAGACCTATAATATTTGAATTTTTTTTAAAAAAAGGTTGATCTATTGTAGTTGTTGGCTTGCTAACTTCATAATAGGAAACTTCTAGCAACCTTCAATGTTCCATTGGGATAATAGGGAGCTTTGTAGAAACTCCAGTTGGGGAAAGAAGGATGAGTTTCACACTGGGAAGCCTTTCCATGTGGATCCCAATCTGGACAAAATGCATAAATGGCAACTAAGAGGAGTAATACATGGAGTAACCATGCTGAGAATCAACATAATTTAAGGTTTTTTGTTTTAGTTTAGAAACGAGATTACAACCACAATTTCTGTTGCTAAGCGAGACAGTTGTTAAATGAGTTTCCCCCACTTTTATCACTTTTATTAAATGAATCCCTGCAGTTATTAACGTAAATCAGTAAATCTGGCTTCCTCAGAAGGTTGCAGTGGGGAGGTGGAGTCACATGATCCCCGGAACGTGACTGTCATAAATATGAGTCAGTTTGCCAAGTGTTTGAATTTTGATCACAGAACCATGGGGATTTTGCAACGGTCATAAGCATCAAAAATGGCCATAAGTCCCTTTTTTCATTCCTGTTGTAACTTCAAATGGTCCCTAAACAAATTGCTGTAAGTTGAGGACAACCTATAGCAGGTTTGTATGAGGTAAGGTTGAGTCATGGAGAAGGTGGATAGAAATTTTGCCTCCTTTTTCATAAAGTTGAAAACTGGCTTATCTATTAATTTGAAATGACATGTAGCTTAACAATTTTCTCTTACCCAAGTGGGTGACACTTCACTAATTTTGGCCATTTTAGAAAATTCTTGGAGGACTTCCAGTTGTTAAGTTAGTCACATGGATGTTAAGTGAATCGGGCTTCCCTGTTGCTCGTCAGAAGGTCACAAAAGTTACCCCAGGGACATTGCAAAGGTCATAAATATGAGTCAGTCGCCAAGTGTGTACATTTGTGATCAAATCTACGGGAATGCTGCAGCAGTTGCAAGAGTGAAAAAATAAGTTGCTTTTTTCAATGTCGTAACTTTGAGTGGTCATTAAACAAATGAAGTGTTAATGCCACTTTATATGCCTTGGTAAGGCCACACTTGGAATCCTGCATCCAGGTTTGGTCACCATGTTGTAGAAAAGGATGTGGAGACTCTAGAAAGAGTGCAGAGAAGAGCAACAAAGATGATTAGGGGACTGGAGACTAAAACATAGGAAGAACAGTTGCAGGAAGTGGGTATGTCTAGTTTAATGAAAAGAAGGACTAGGGGAGATATGATAGCAGTCTTCCAATATCTCAGAGGTTGCCACAAAGAAGAGGGAGTCAAGCTATTCTCCAAAGCACCTGAGGATAGAACAAGAAGCAATGGGTGGAAACTAATCAAGGAGAGAAGCAACCTAGAACTGAGGAGAAATTTTCTGACAGAACAATGAATCAGTGGAACAACTTGCTTCCAGAAGTTGTGAATGCTCCAACACTGGACATTTTTTAAGAAGATGTTGGATAACCATTTGTCTGAAGTGGTGTAGGGTTTCCTGCCTAAGCAGGGATTTTTTACTAGAAGACCTCCAAGGTCCCTCCCAACTCTGCTATTGTACTGTATGGTATTGTATAAATGGCTCTAAGTGGAGAACTGTCTCTACCCGCTTCTCCTCACTGAAGCCTTTTTTGGTCTCTCTTGCAGATGACAACATCGATGAGACCTACGGAGTGAATGTACAGTTTGAGTCCGACGAAGAGGTGAGCATGGAGGCTTCTGTGCTGTGGAATGCTGCTTTGTGTACCACTTGCATTTTCTGGCGATTGATTGACTTACCAGCCAGCATAATTCCCACATCCCCTTTTATTAGAGAGACAAATTGAGGGTGCGAGGGATGAGTGCTTCCTGGATTTTTTGTTCAGGAAATGTCATTGTTCCGAGTAATGAACCCAGGGAAGTCAGGACTGTGACAGTTGGTTCAGGTTCAAGAAACCCTTTATTGAGTACATCATCTCGGCACTTAGAAAACTCTAAAAAGTTCCCGTGCTTGGGGATAGTTAAAAGAATAAAATTTCCCTACCTCTCTGTGTCTCTCAGGTCACATGGGCCAATCAGTTCAGCCGTAATTTCCGGCTCTGCTCTCCCAGATGCCCCTTGACATGCTGGCTGATAGATGCTATGACCAGCAGTTGAGGCACCACCTTCCTGAGTTTCCCCATCCCTCTTCTCTCCAGCCATGAGCAAGAATGGCTTCAGCTGAAGTCATTTTGCAGATTGACAGGAAACCTAGTCTATTCTAGGCTAGAATTCAGCGTTCTGTAAACCCTAGATGGCCTGTTGCGATTGTGTTCTTTTCTGCTGCCTGAGTGAGGCCGCTGTTCATCGGTGGCCTCTCCAAGGCTTGTCATGTCCCTGGGAGGAAGAGGCCTTGTTCTTGGAGGGGCTGTTAAGTAAAAGTCGTTGTGAACCAACAGGAAGGAGATGAGGATGTCTATGGCGAAGTCCGAGATGAAGCATCTGATGAAGACCTGGAAGGCGATGAAGCTGTCGTTCGCTGTACCCTCTCGGCTAACGTGAGTCCCTGGGAAAGCAAAGCTTTTTGATAAAAAATAAAAAATTAGTTTGATTAAATTGGAGACTAAATGTCAGCGTTCCAAGTAACAGACCCAAGGCAATCAAAACTGAGGCCTGGAGTTTCCTCAAAGTAAGAAGCTTCTGTCAGCTGAGTGAAATGAGCATGTCATTTGGAAGCCATTTCAGTGTTTGGGGGGAACGCAGTGGTTTGAATCCCTAGCGCCGCATAATGGAGTGAGCTCCTGTTACTTGTCCCAGCTTCTGCCAACCTAGCAGTTCAAAAGCATGTAAAAAATGCAAGTAGAAAAATAGGATCCACCTTTGGTGGGAAGGTCACAACGTTCCGTGGGCCTTCGGCATTGAGTCATGCCGGCCACATGACCACGGAGATGTCTTCGGACAGCGCTGGCTCTTTGGCTTTGAAACGAAGATGAGCACTGCCCCCTAGAGTTGGGAACGACTAGCAAGTATGTGCGACGGGAACCTTTATCTTTACTAACTTCAAACAGTCACTAAAGAAAGGCTGTAAGTTGAGGATTCCCTCTAGCACAGTGGGTCTCAACCTTCCTAATGCTGCGACCCTTTAATACAGTTCCTTATGTTGTGGTGACCCCCAACCATAAAATTATTTTATGTTTTCTGTATTTCTTTTTTGAAAATATGTGTTTTCCGATGGTCTTAGGCGACCCCTGTGAAAGGGTTGTTTGACCTCCAAAGGGGTCCCGACCCACAAGTTGAGTACCACTGCTCTAGCGCTTTCTAATTTCCAGAAGAATGAGAGAGTCTGCGTATTCCTAGTGTTGCCTTTGGGCCTTGGGGTGTTCTTAGCAAAGCTCAGGGTGCGAGTCCTGCTGTTTCTCCCCAGCTGGTGGCTTCCGGTGAGCTGATGTGCTCCAAGAAGAAAGATCTGCACCCCAGGGACATTGACGCCTTTTGGCTGCAACGCCAGCTGAGCCGTTTCTATGACGACGCCATCGTGTCCCAAAAAAAGGCAGACGAAGTGCTGGAAATCTTGAAGGTGGGCTGCTTGCTTGACCCTGGTGCTCTGATCCTGATCCTGCTGGTTTTTTTGGGTGGGGGGGATGTTGGCTTAATACTTGGGGCTCCTGCCGTGACTCCAATCCTCTGGAACAGGCACCTCCAACTTTGGCAAGTTTAATACTTGTGGACTTCAACTCCCAGAATTCCTCAGTCAGCCTTGCTCTAAAAATTAGAGGGAGGGAGGAGGAAAGCAAGGGAGGGCAGGAAGGGAGAAAGAAGGAAGGAAGGAGGAAAGCAAGAGAGGGCAGGAGGAGAGGGAGAAAGGAAGGAAGGAAGGAGGAAAACGAGAGGGCAGCAGGAAAGGAAGGGAGAAAGAAGAAAGGAAGGAAGGAAGGAGGAAAGCAAGAGAGGACAGGAGAAAAGGAAGGAAGGAAGGAAATTTGTTGGCTGAGGAACTCTGGAAGTCCACAAGTCTTAAAGTGGCCAAGGTTGGAGACCGCTGCTTTGAAACATCTTGTCCCTCTCAAGGACTCCTCATTTTAACCCTGAGCTACAAATATTCTTTTCTATCAGTTCAGTAGACTTTTGTTTAGATAGGGAAGCCCCATAAATCATTGTGTTTGCAATTCAGAAGACCCAAATGCAGCTAATGGTACATCTAAAGAGGGCTGGTAAAATATGCCTCAAACTCCTGAAGGGTACCTTCCAGTCAGGAGCGGCACCTGTCAGTCAAAAGCAGCACCCTGTGTTTTTTTTTCTGACTGCTCCGTGGCTCTGTCTGCCCTTCTACCATTTGAATTCTCCATATAAGATGAAATGGTTTCAAATAGTTTCAAGGCCTATCCGTTTTTCCTCGCTTACTTCCCCAGACGGCCAGCGATGACCGAGAATGTGAGAATCAACTGGTTCTCCTCCTGGGATTTAACACGTTTGACTTCATTAAAGTGCTGAGACAGCACAGAATGATGAGTAAGTATATGTTGCTGGGATGTGGAACGTTGCTTTCTGGGACTCTCAAGAATTGGCTTCTTGTCACAAAAGGCCCTTTGAGATACACAGCCGAGGAGAGCTCAGCTTTGCTTATTTCCACCCAGCTCGGATTTCAAGAATCTATTTTTGCTCTTTCTGGCTTCTGATAAACAATCAGAATAGAGGGGCCTTGGTGGTCTTCTAGTCCAACCCCCTGCTCAAGCAGGAGACCCTATACAGTTTCAGACAACTGGGTGTCCAGTCTATTCTTAAAAACTACCCATAACTTCTGAAGGCAAGCTGTTCCACAGCCCCCCCCTTCCCAGCTGTTGAAATCCAGGCCAATAAGTCCCCCGCCCCCAAAGTTCTGTTGTAACTCTGAATGGTTGCTTACTGACTGGTTATAAATTCAGGACTACCTGCAATACAACCTTACATGCTGAGTATTTCCCTTGGGAGAATTTTATATTTATGTCCTTGTTTTTGCTCTTCCTGTGTTTGTTTCACGTGCAACTGATGTTTTGTCCCAAGGGTGCTTTTTTTTCAAGAGGCAATTGGACTTCCTTGTTTTTTTCTTTTGAGGTTGTTTCTCTTCTCATCCAAAAAGCTTCTTCAGCTCTGACAGGATGGTGGGGAATGAAGGATTGATTCTCCTTGCAGACAGCTGGTCATTTGCATCCTTTGAGAGGGTCATTGAGGCCACCTGGAGGTTTATCTGTTTCCTCAGAGTTACCTGAATGGTGCAAACGGATGTGGAGCCTTCTTGGAAGTGCTGAAAGGATCTGTATTACAGTCTGGAGATAGATGATGTCGAGAGAGGGCTTTTCAATTTTGATATAAATGGCCTCTTTGATCCCTCTTTCAAACCAGCAGTCCTCTCTGTCCAAAATGAGGACTTTGTTGTCTTCAAAAGAGCAGCCTTTGCCTTTAAATGCAGGCGGGCTTCTGAATCGTCCTGATGGGTTTCTTCTCCTATCTTGAAGAGCTGAGGGAGCTTCTTGGAGGAGGAGCGAAATGTCTTCAAAAGAAAAACCAGAAAGTCTAGTTGCCTCTTGCAGAAAAATAAGCACCTTTGGGACAACCATGACCTGGAGGACGGAGAATCTCCAGAGACCTTTAACTGAGGTTTTGCTTTCTTGCTAGTCCTCTACTGCAGTCTCCTGGCAAGTGCTCAGAGTGAAGCCGAGAAGGAGAGGATTATGGGTAAGATGGAATCGGACCCCGAGTTGTCAAAGTTCCTGTATCAGCTGCATGAAACGGAGAAGGAAGATTTGATCCGGGTAAGAATGTGATAGCAGGGATAAAGAGAGGAACCTTATTAAAAGGATGATTGCACCAAAGCAGCTTAAATCCACAACCAGGATTGACTTTGTGCAACACAGCTGTGCTGTATGGCTTATTTTTAGTATGCGTAGCATTGCTACATTAAGTAATGTGCACAATTTGAGCACTACTAAAACAAGCGACAATAACAGTAGCATTCAGGCTTATGTACCACCCCTTCGTGCTTTATAGCACTCTATAAATGTAAATTAGATATGATGTGGCTCAGCAACTAAGATTCTGAGCTTGTCGATCAGAAGGTCAACCAAACTTGATACACAGGTTACTTACCCTCTGGAAACAAATACTGTGGGGGTAAGACACCCCAAAACCCCTCATGGTGTGTGTTCTGTTAAGATACATCATGTCGTGCCTTAAAATGGCTTCTTCTGTACTGCTGTAAAATGGCTTCTGTACAGTGCAGTAGAATTGCCATGGTAACGGCTTCACAGTACTCCACAAGGGGGCTCCCTCTGCTAAGGGGGAAAATCCAACATTAGAAATTGCGGTGACATTCATGGAAGAAGGGTTGGGATAAATAAATACCCAGGCAGTGCCAAGTTATCAGCTAGTTTAAAAAAAAAAAATATCTGCCTGCCATTTGTCATTGGAATTAAGATTTAAACCAAGTTGTCAGCTTTGCCTTCCTCTTTCAGGAAGAGCGCTGTCGCCGGGAACGTGTCCGTCAGTCCCGCATGGACACCGACTTAGAAACCATGGATCTGGACCAAGGAGGCGAGGTAATTTGGTGGGTGAAGTGGTCTGGGGGAACATTCAGGCCGGCTTGATGCCTTCATTTTCTCTCCCTATATCTAAAGCCTTCTGTCCCAGTGACATTTGACCCCGGTGGTCTTCTTTAATCCCAGGCCCTGGCCCCTCGGCAAGTGTTGGACCTGGAAGACCTGGTGTTTGCCCAAGGAAGCCACTTCATGGCCAACAAGCGGTGCCAACTGCCCGATGGCTCGTTCCGCAAACAGCGCAAAGGCTACGAGGAAGTCCATGTCCCTGCTCTTAAGCCCAAGCCCTTCGGATCGGAAGAGGTGAGCCACCCTCGCATTTCCCCCTTCGCCCTGGGGCCTCTGTTGTCAACTCCGAAACGGACCTGGCTGGAGCCATCTTTTGCTGCCTCAAAGTTGCCACAAGCCCTGAGAAGGGGAGGGATCCGCCAAAAGAATATTTTTTCCTGTGGGGACCAAGGCCATATTAGATACAGATACAGATTAACAGAGTTGGAAGGGACCTTGTAGGTCATCTAATCCAACCCCCTGCCCAAGCAGGACCCCTACACCATTTCTGACAGATGGCAGCCCAGTCTCTTCTTGAAAGCTTCCAGGAATGAAGCTCCCACAACTTCCAAAGGCAACTTATGTTCCATAAGTGGATTGTTCTGTCAGGAAATTCCTTCTTATTTCCAGGTTGAATCTCTCCTTGCTCAGTTTCCATCCATTGCTCCTTCAGGTGCTTTAGAACAGTGTTTTTCAACCACTGTGCCGCGGCACACTAGTGTGCCGTGACATAGTGTAAGGTGTGCCGTGGGAAAAACACTTTATATATAGTCAATATAGGCACAGAGTTAATTTTTTTTAACATTTTCTATAGTGGTGTGCCTCGTGATTTTTTTCATGAAAAAAGTGTGCCTTTGCACAAAAAAGGTTGAAAAACACTGCTTTA